GACTCCACTTACCGCTATTTTTGATACTGCTAAATACAAGTATAGTCATTCATCTGCCCTCAGTGTGTGAAGCAATAACGGGCTCGATAGATATCGCTTAAGCTCTTCTAAGGCCCGTTGGCATTCCTGGGTCCATGTGAAGTTATTTTTCTTCTTCAGTAATGAGAAAAATCGATAGCTCTTATCGGAAGATCTCGAGATGAATTGCCCTAGGGCGAAAATATACCCGGTTAGCCTTTGTACGACCTTGACATTATCCACTACCGTGATATCCTTGATAGCTTTGATCTCTTCAGGGTTGATCGCAATTCCTCTGTTGGACACCATAAACCTAAGAAATTTACCCGATCCGACTCCGAACACGCACTTTTTTTGGATTCAGCTTCATGTTGTACTTCTTCAATATACTGAAGGTTTCCTGCAAATATTTTAAATGGTCCTCTACTTGTAGGGACTTAACTAACATACCATCAATGTAAACTTTCATGGATTTCACTATTTTTTCTTCGAGCATTCGGTTTACTAGGTGTTGGTTAGTGGCACCAATATTTTTTAATCCAAATGGCATTACATTATAACAGTATATGCCATACTTAGTGATGAAGGAGGTCTTTTCTTGATCATCCAGGTTCATCTGTATTTGGTTGTACCCAGAGTAGGCATCGAGAAAATTGAGGATCTCGTGGCCGACCGTAGCATTGATCATACGATCGATGTTAGGCAAAGGGAAAGAGTTTTTGGGGCATACCTTATTTAAATCTTTATAATCCACACACATTCTTAGTTTGTTTCCTTTTTTAGGGACTACTACTACATTTGCTAACCATTCCGGGTATTTGACCTCCCAGATGGATTAAAGAGTTTAGTTACTTCGTCCTTGATGAAAGCATGCTTGATATCGGACTGGGGTCTCTTTTTCTACTTGACTGGATGGAATTTCGGGTCCAGGCTCAGCTTGTGAGTAGTGATGATCCTTATCATATCGAGATGTGACCCAAATCCATGTTAGCTATAAGAAATTGAATGAGTTTTTTCTTGAGCTCGGGTGTTAACCTCATACCTAGGTATATCTTTTGATCGGGAAAATGTTCAATCAATACGACCTACCCCAGCTCTTCAACCTTTGATTTAGTAGCGTTGGAATCATCAGGAACTGTAAAGGATCAAGGAACCCCGCAATCATCATCTTCGTCAGTCCCCTTCTTGTTCGGTTGGGTCGAGGCTGGCATCGGTGATTGCTATTTGGCTTCCTATTTTGCTTTCGAACCTGGCTCCTTTGTCGATGAGAGCATTGATATCAGAATTATTTCATCGACGACAAACATTTCCTTTGTGGCGGGTTGCTCCCCGTAGACCGTCTTGATCCCTTCCGGTGTTGGAAATTTTAATACCTGGTAAAGGGTCGAGGGCATAACCCTCATGTTGTGGATTCATGGCCTACAGAATAGGGCGTTGTACCTCATGTCCCCTTCGATCACATAAAACGTGGTCTCCTAGGTCGTACCGGCTACATTTACCAGTAACGTTATTTCTCCCTTAGTAGTTTTGCAAGCCATGTTAAATCCGTTTAGCACTCGGGCCGCATGCACGATTTGGTCATGTAGGCTGAGTTGCTCTACGACCCTCGATCGAATGATATTAGCCGAACTACCTGGATCAATTAATACACGTTTAACTTGAGTTTTATTCATGAGTGTAGAAATTACTAGTGCATCATTATGGGGCTACATGATTCCTTCTGCATCCTTGTCGTTCAAAGATAAAGTTCCTTCTGGTATGTAATCTCGGGTCCGTTTTTCCCAATACTTTGGTGCGCTTTAACATCGGACCTTGAAGAACATTGACCCCTCCGATGATCATATGAATGACATGTTGATGTTCGTCTTGCTTGTTTTGTTTATTGGAATCCTGCTTCTAAAATGATTCTTGGCTCGGTCGCTCAGAAATTCCCGAAGGTGCCCGTTGTTGAATAACCGGGCTACTTCTTCTCTCAATTGTCGACAATCCTCCGTTCTTTGGCCATGTGTGCCATGATATTTGCATATTTGGTTGGGATCCCTTTGGGCTGGATCGGTTTGTAAAGGTCGAGGCCACTTGGTATCTTTGATGCTTCCGATAGCCGATACGATGGCAGCTGCATCAACATTAAAGTTGTACTCTGATAATCGTGGTGCTTCTTTAGGTCCGATAGGTCTATCCAAGCCATTCCTACTCATGATCCCTCGAGAGCTCTGGATTCAATCACTTCTCCTTTCATTTCATGCAGAATTTTGCCCAGATCTGCTACTTCTACGATCTCCATTATACGACCGGTATCTCTCTCTGTTCAACTCAGTTCTCGGTCAATATCCCTCTTGATTCTATCGATGGGTCTGATAGGATAAACGGACCCGGAAGGAGCCCTAAGTTGATCGTCTTCGACCCTGATCTTTGATTGGTACCGATTATGCACATCCGCCCAAGTAATAGCCGGGTACTCTATCAGATTCTGCTTCAACTGCTGCGAAGCCACCGGGCTTCGAACATTGAGTCCTTGAGGGAAAGCTTGAACAACCCAATCATCAGTGACCGGTGGTAGGTCCATCCATTCCATTTGTAATCGAGACACGAATTCTTTGAGCATTTTATTGTCCTTCTGCCTTACCTTGAAATGGTCGAACTTTCTGGTTTCGACCTTGATGGCCCTGACGTGTGCCTTTACGAAAGAATCTGCAAGCATAACAAATAAGTCAACAGAATTATGGTACCATATCATAGTTCCCTTTGACAGGGTCTCTACAAATTTCTTTAGCTNGGGGGGGAGGTTTTTGCACAAACTTTTTGGAGCCCAGTCCTTTTAATATTGGCGGTGCCCCCGGGATTTGATCGACCCTGAAGTTGTAAGTTTCCACCTTCTTGTCGTTTTTCTCGATCTTCTTTTCTCCCGACTCAATTCGTTTTGTCAGTTCTTCGAGAATCTCCATGATTGTAGGACTGGTCTCGGATTCTTTCTCGTTTGATTTCCTTGAAACCGATTCGACCCTGTGAACAACTTCTTGGGATGGCTCGGGATCGATCCTACTCGGTGGGTAATTCTGGTTTTGAAGCTGGACTATCGCTTCCTGTTGAGCCTGCAACATTTCGAAGATCAATCGCAGGCTGATCTTGCCATCTTCATAGCCATGAGTGCGTTGAGCGGCTGATCGAACATCTTCACTGATGCTGCCATCGGGATCGACAACCAAATTTGCATTGATGGCTACATGTAAGCTAACGTCGATTGGATCTACAGCCGGAACTTCATCGAGGCCAATCGGGGGAGCGTCATTCCCTGGTGCTATTTTATCACTTTCGCCGTGGTGGCCGAAATCATTGTCAACGTGTAGGGGTGCTGACTGAGAGTTCGACATTTTGGTCCTGGAATCAAAGATACTCCAAAGAACAAGTGTAAAATAGTATGTGTTATGAAAGTTTGTACTAGGTAATCACTATTATTCTTAGCCCCACGGTGGGCGCCAAACTGTTTACCCTTAAAATTGAATAACAATTGAATTTGTACGCGATTTTAAGGATATGTGATATAACTTGATACAAATTAAGAAGATAGATTAATATTGAAATTAATAATAAGAAAATAAATGCAAACCACAAAATTAAATAGCCTTAGCCTCTGATTTTGATCACCCTCGAGCCAAGAAATGTCTCAACTAGTATTAGAACTGAACGACAAGGTGATAAGAACTAGAAATGATCAGTATATTGCTTTCTTTTATGCGTGTTACAATGTATCATATAAATGATCAGAACCCCCTTTATATAGTAGGGGTGTTCTACTTTTGTTATAATTCTATACAAGGTAAAAAACTCATGATTTGCTAGTTAATCGGCCTCTTCTTGATACGTGCCGAGATTTCCGCCGTGATCCTCGACCGATTGCGAATATTTTGGCTTTCCGTTATTTGGCTCGATAAGTTTCCCTCGATCTTGGTCGGTCTCGGGGTCATCAGCTCGACGATCTAATTTTGCGCCTTGGTTCGATATAACTCGAGCTCGAGCTTTGACCTGCCATGTTTCAGCCTCGATTGGTCAAAGAATTGACGAATCCGATTTCGACCGTATATAAACCTATTCTTCTAACAACCAAACGGCTCTAAAATGATACAAATGTTTATAGTCAAAATATTTAAAGTACAAAAATTATTTGATGCAATTATTCTTTTTTAGGTTGAGAAGAGTTATACTCTAGGGGCTGTTGGATTATCGTGATTAAAATTCTACTCTCGATATAACATTTAGGAATGTGTATACCCACTGTTAGGTTTATCATCACTAGAATATCTAAGGTCAAAAGTCAATGTCATTATCATTTCTAGAATATCCAAGATCAAAATTGGAACAATTTTTTTTATCCAAATCTATCAAATTTCGAATCAAATGCATATTTTAAATTATATACTAATATTTTAATTACAAAATAATACTAAATAATTCAGGAATTACTTATATTATAATCCTAACATTACCAAACAAGTAACAACTTGTTTGGATGATTGTTACGTATCGTTTCATAATGTATCGTATCGTATTGTATTGTACTGTATCGTTTGGTAAATACAATGTTTGGATAGATTGTGTCGTTTGCCATCATTTCATGATATCACACACCAGCAATATGAAGAATAAACTTGCAATATTATAAAGAAAAATTATGAAACAGAGTAAAATTATTATATAAAAAGTAGGATAAATGATCAAATAAAATTATTAATAATAATGAAGGATGAGATTGAGATAAAAAGATAATGCAACGACACGACCATACCAAATTAGTCGTTACATAAAGTAGCACATTTCATCATTATGTAACGACGGATTTAACAATACGAGATAATAAAATTTAAGTAACAACCAAAACAAACATCGTATATAAAATAATAATACCATACAATAAGACGGGTAACAACCATCCAAACAATATGTAAGTGGGAAAATAAAAAGGGGAAACCGATTTTGGGTTTATTGGCTTTTGTTCTTTTTCAAAAGGGATCAACCGCTCACCAACAAAAGATACTTCATACATACGCTACTGAATACTGGAAAGCTTCACTTTCACACCGACTCTTTTTCTTTCCCTCTTTCATCTAAACCCAGTGAAGGTATGTCTCAGTTTTTAGTTATGGATTTATTCATCAGCTTTATCAATCCATTTATCAAATTAGATTTCTAGGTATTCTCTCGTCTTTTTCTTCTTTGCGAAAAATAAAAATAAAATTGGAGTACTTGTAGGTTGAATTTGTGCGGTAATTGCACATTATGATCACACTGATGTTGTTTATATCATTTATGCTTGGATAATTCTAAATTACGATTGGAATTGTTGATAATTTGAGCATAATCGTTGTTCGGTATTAAGAAAAAAAACATACAGAGATCTTTGTTGGTTTTATAGTTAGGTTTTAAAGCTGTTCTTGCTAATTTTNGGGGGGATGGTTTGTTTGTTTTCTTGAACCTGCTGTAAATCGATTTACTGATAGCTAGATTGGGTACTCTTTTTTTTAATCAATTTGTTGGAATATAATGTTGACTGGTTAATAGTCTGTTGTACTTTCTCCATTTGGGCTCTTTTTGGGCTGCTCGGCTGTAGTACCATTTGTTTCCTCTTTAGTCAGTTGGATATGTTTATAAGCATTGAAGTTGGAGATTTGGTAATAGTGCCCTTAATTGGATCTCGGATATGATTTCCCCCTCTTTTTCCAACTTCTGTGGTTTGTCCCCCAGGGTGTTGGTCTAGTAGTAAGAGCGCAACGCATGTGTGGATTAGGCGCACATCACTGGTTCGAACCCTGCTACAGACAAAAGCATGGTATTTAAGTGGAGAAGCCATGTGTCACCGGTCCTCGGGGATTTTTCGGTTGTAAAAAGAAAAATTATGTGTGTGTGTAGTAATGGGTTTGTGCTATTCGACGGACCTTGTCAAATCTTAACTTGCATCGAATAATGACATCTTTGTCAGGAAAATCCTAGGTTTCTGTGCTCTTTTGATGAGTATGCATGCTGGTGCAATAAAAACAACCAGCTGTCTAGGATGTGATTTCTTCTTCTGTAGATTATTAGTTTAGCGAGCTTCTTTAGTAGATGTGTGAATGTTCTGAGTTTTTACTTTTTTTGCTGATGCTTATGGTTATTTTCTTATTGTGCATATATCACAAATAATATTTGGGCCTGATAGGTGGTACGGTATACCGATGGCCTAAGTTGTATAAAGTTCAGTTTATCTGATGCCTAATTTCTTTGCTCTCAGTAAAGCAGAGTTAAATCAGCAGATATGAATCCAGGGGGTTATACAGCAGAAGTTACAGGTCTTTCTCCTAATACTACTGAAAAGGATGTTCATGATTTCTTTGGTTTCTGTGGGGCAATTGAACATGTTGAGATTGTCAGGTGTGTTTAATATCTGGGAGTGCATTTACAATTTTATCACTCATACTCTATATTTCCGTGTCAATGGTTTAGGATGAAAAGAAACGAATTGGAAGGGAAATTATGAGTAGAGTTATATCTTTGAACTCACGAATGTATCTTCCTTGTTTTTCTTTTGTTTCAATTTCTTCAAATCCCTCAAAGTTCAAACCGACCCCTTAATTGTATTGTACGTACAATGTAAGATCATCTTTTCTAATACACTTAGCTTGATATACGTACGATAAACAAGTTTTGTAGCCACTATTGTTTCTTGGGTTATTATCTTGTTTTCTTTTCTAATCTTGAAAGCTTTTGAATCTTCTGAAATGTTTGTATCAGGATAGAGCAAGTATGCCATATGTAGGTTGAGCAAAACAAAAGGGATTTGGTGTTCGGGGATATGCATCTATATCTGTTCATAATTTGGTCTTGTCTGTGACATAATTAGTTGATTATTTGGCAAAACTGTATCTTTATGTCTCATTGTTTGTTCTGAGAATCCAGTATTGTCGCTATGTCCTTTAGCAAATGAAAAGCAGGAAAAATTTCACTTATGGTACTTATCTTTTACTTTCTCTTTACCCTTCCAAAGTACAATATGTGTGTAGAGTAGTGTTTGCACAGCCTTTTTGTTGATACCTATTTTTATTGTAATTTGAAGAAATGTGGAGCACCACTGAAGTCTTATACCTCACAGGAGCTTTTTGAGTCAGCCAACTGTTTACAAATCACATTAGGCTTCAATATTACTACTTTTGTTGTTATTTTGTGAAAATCAATCATGTAATCGAGGAACTTTATGCCAAGTTGGCCTCATAACACACAGCATGTATTTCATTCCTGCTTTTTCCATAAGTTACTGTATAAAAAATTTTGGTCGTTGATTGAGTTTATGCTTGTGGTTGAGAATGCAGAGCTGGTGAACATGCAAGTACAGCCTATGTGACATTTAGAAATCCTCATGCCTTGGAAACAGCTGTCTTACTGAGTGTAAGTTCCTTCAGATGGTTTATTGGTTTAGTTGTATAGTGAGTAAGGTTTAGGTCTCTGAATAAGCAGCATAGAATTGCATTCTGTCTACAATTTGACAGTTGCTAATTCTGGTTCCATGTGGTGTTAAATGAATGGATTATGTGTTACTTTCATTTTTTTTTAACTTGTGTGTGTTGAATGTAAAATAGTTCATCTACTGGACTTAAACAAAATGGTATGTGCTTTGAGAGTGAGGGCAAGACCTCGATATTGATGTTTGAGTTCCAATATAAATATTGTTGGACCAATAATTTGAAACCCTTCCATTTGTCACAACAATGCAAAGACTTTCTTTTTCCTCGAGCTGTTTTCATAGAGCTTAAAGTAATGTTGGTGTTGCTCGACAAGGTATTGTTTTATTATATCGCCAGTTATAGTTGGTCAAAATGCTCATCTTCTTTGCGGTAATTGGATGTCCTATTCTCCTGTAACGCTTCTCATGAATTTGCTTGGTCTCAAAATCCAAGCAATGAACCCCTTAGTATTATTTTGATTCTGCATACATCTCTGTGCACTTAGATTCAGTTACATATAAATATAATTTATTGTTGATAGATGTAATTTTTTATTTTTCGCACCAAACTAATTTTTCCTTAAGATGTATATTTTGATTGAATGGTTCTCATTTATAACTAACTTCTCTCAGGGGGCTACCATTTTGGATCAACGTGTGTGCATAACCAGCTGGGGTCACTACCAAGATGAATTTGCTTATTGGGATCATTCATCATGGAGACCTCAAGAGGAAAGTCGTTCAAGTGTATGTTCTTGCCTCCTGCTTTCCTATCTGTATGGTACTCGTTTCTCTATGAATGAGGTGTGTATTTCTAATGAGTGGATTTATAATTCCAGCAGGACCCCCAGGGACAGCATTTTGTTTCTTCTGCTGGGGAAGCTGTGATGATGACTCAAGATGTGGTTAAAACCATGCTATCTAAAGGGTATATTCTTGGAAAAGGCGCATTAGGGAAAGCCAAAGCTTTTGACGAATCTCATGCGCTGTCAGCAACTGCAGTCTCCAAGGTTGCTGATTTGAGTGAGAGAATTGGCCTCACCGACAAGTTTTGTGCCGGGGTTGAAGTGGCCAGATCTGTGGATCAGAGGTATCACATATCGGATACCACCAGATCAGCTGTGTCAGCTACAGGTAGAACTGCTGTCTCTGCTGCAAGTGCTGTTGTTAACAGTAGCTACTTTTCCAAAGGAGCTCTTTGGATGTCTGGTGCTTTAAGTAAAGCGGCTAAAGCTGCAGCTGATTTGGGTAGCCGAGGCATTAACAAATGAGAAGATTCAGAGCAACTGCCATGCAGCTTAGATTCTTCTATATGAGAATAGTGCTAGTTGATGTAGTTTTCTAGAGTATATACTTTTATGCCTGTCGCATGCAGTATCCCTTTCATTGGCACTGGTATTAGTCCTCTGGGTTGTGTGGTCTAGAGTTGTGATTTGAATGGATTGTGCTGATATTGATTCAGCTGAAATCAGACTGGTGTTTCCTTTCCACTTTTGTTGGATATCAGGTCGATGTTGTAAAGGACATACAGTAGATAATACGTGTTTGAGCAGAAATTTTCTTCAGTTTATTGGAGGTTTTTTTACTGGTCTTGCAACATGCAGTTGTGCTAAAATTCTTTGTAAAGATGACTTGTTAGAATCTGCTCTCAAGATACAAATTTTAAGATTAGATTTAAGGAGGCTGCTTTCGACAACTGATGAACAATCTTTTATCCCTCTATGTAAACTGGACTCGGTTGCTGGCTATGATGTACATAAGTATTTGATAAGTGTGTGAAATTTTGTTTATTGCTAAGTTTTAGCGTATTAAGAAGAATTTGCATGGAGTACTCATATCAATATCATATCTTACATGGGTACATTAAGAAAAATAAAAGATCCACGAAATTCAGTAGGTGTTTGGACAATATTTGAGTTGAAATGTTTCCATAAATGTTTGAAGCAACGGTTAAGTTGTCTTTGTGTGACCTATAGGTTACGAGTTCGAGCCGTGAAATTATTCATTGATGCTTGTATCAGGTAGGCTGCTTACATTACACTCCCTTAGGTTGCGGCTCTTTCCGGACCCTGCGTGAAGGCAAGATGCTTTGTACACCGGACTGTCCTTTTTGAATAATATTCATAGGTCTGTATTATTACATGTTGTTGTGTCATTCTCTTTCGTTATCCTATTAGGTTGTTGTTAATATTTTGACTATTGAATTGTACAATTGAAGAGCATATTATTAAATTGTCTTATTCAGAAGCATATCATAAGAAAGTAGTATATGAAAATTACAAATGTTCCTGTTGTTATGTCACAAAGGACTCTCGTGTCATGCCACAATGACAAAATGACATAACAAGGAAAGTGAAATTCTTACATTAGACTATTCTTAAACCCGACTCCACCCCCACCCCTCCCTCGCTCGCCTCCTAACCCATCGCCGTCGGTGGTCTTACGTCTTCTTTGTTTGCCTTTAGGAAAAAGTCAAGCACCCTCCTTTGAATCCAACGCTTACCGAATCAACAATCCGACGTCGTTTCCCTGTAAAATTAAAAAATATTTGACGTATTTTCACTCCATCACGGTTCATACAGCTGAGCTTCAATTTTGATATCTTAGCTAACGCATTTCCATTTTCCAGATCGAATGTGATACCGAAAAAAATAATCAATTTAAGTTTGTAGCTGTAATTGTAACTGAAACAGATCTAAATTCAATTATGGATGCGGTGTCGATAAGAGTACCGTACAAGAATTTAAAGCAGGAAGTGGAATTAGTTAACGTTGATGAATCATCTCGGTTTACTCATTTAGAGATCCACAGTGATTCATCTTCTCCTCCTAGGGTTTCCAATGGCGAATCACACGATTCACATTCTCCTCCTCAGCCGCCGCCTGTACGGAACAGTTTACTCACTTTAATTCTCAGTTGCACCGTCGCCGCCGGTGTTCAGTTCGGTTGGGCCTTGCAACTCTCTCTCCTCACTCCTTACATTCAGGTGCATTGATTTCTGCGCTACGACTCTCTCTGATCCATTTTATATATGATAGTGTTGAACTGAAGTTTGATAGTATGTTAATTTGACTTGTGTACCTGTTTCGTTTTGATTTGTTTGACTGGATATGGAGTTAGAGATGTTATTTGACATATGCATTTATAATACTGGTAGTGAAAGGAACCATTTGAGTCACAATTGAAAAGTTCGTTTAATGGAGGTGACATTATTTTCAAAGCTAAGAAGTCAGTTTCTATTTTTGGTAAAAAGCTGTACATCCGAGAACAGTTTCTTTCTGTACCAAATTTCGGTTTCTATAAGGGAACAATTTTAGTCTATAAGAGGTCACACTGAATATTTCAGCAAATAGCACTCTTTAATAGCTTAACGGCTTTTAAATACAGCTTGCATTTGATATGTCGCCTTTGAGAGTTGATACTTTGTTTTTAAGTAAATAAGAGAAACAGAAAGCAAAATCATGTTCATGTCATTATGGCTGGCATGGAATTTGCTCATGCCAAAAATTAGAAGGTTTGATTTTTCTGTAATCTTAGTTGCAATTATATTGATCCGAAGATGTGCAGAAATGGTCTTTAAAAGCCATAGCAGCTTTCCGCTAGCCTCGAGCAATGAATTCTTACAATTTTCTATCTTTTCAGTGGCTTTAGGTTTTATTTTGCCTATTTCTCGTTTTGAGCTTTTTCTTTGCCTAAAATTCTTCTTTTTTGTGTTTTGCAGACACTTGGCATAGAGCATGCCTTCTCTTCTTTTATTTGGCTTTGCGGTCCTATTACAGGCCTTGTGGTAGGTGTCACAATCAATTTGATATGAAATATCATGGCATTTTATTGCAGATTACTTGGTAAAACATCCATCTAAAACGATGAAAGGCAGTAATTAGGATCAGAGATGTGAGAACAGCTTTACTGAGATTAATTCCTGAAGATATAAAATAGGGATAACCTTTGCACCTGCAGAGCCAACTACATAAAAGCTCCAACACTTTGAAATCTTATTAACTCGTTAAACAAAAATTTGTTAAGACTTCAGCCCTGGTACTTAACCTAGCAGATATGGCTTGTTGAACTATTACAATTTTTTCTTTTGGAGCTCTGCAAAATTTGTCTGTTCCTAGCACTAGAAGTCTGTCCTTTGTTCAGTAAATTAATGTCGCCAGATATATGCTACACACAAAATATGTGGAGAAGTTTTGCTGCAGCTCCATCGATTATTCAACTTAGAAGCTTTTCTTCTTGGACATTCTTTCAGGTACAACCTTGTGTAGGTATATGGAGTGATAAATGTCATTCGAAATATGGCAGAAGAAGGCCTTTCATTTTTGTTGGAGCTGTCATGATATCTATTGCTGTAAGCATTTAGAAGTTATGTTTATCCTATATTGAATTAATTGGTTCCAGTTAAATTGGCTGAACTTAATCTTGTCATTTAGGTGATAATTATCGGGTTTTCTGCAGACATAGGATACTTATTGGGGGACACAAAAGAGCATTGCAGGTTCTTTCTTTCTCTTGGTCCTGTAGTTTTGGTATTATCTGAATAAGCTGTGAAGTCTTTGATTAATGTCTGAAAATACAGCACTTTCAAAGGCACTCGCTCTAGAGCGGCTATTGTCTTCGTTGTTGGGTTTTGGATGCTCGATCTTGCTAATAATACTGTGCAGGTTAGCATCTGAAAGTTTAATACTATTGCTAGGAGTTATGATTCTAATAGATGGTACCATAATTGTTTTATGTTGGCAGGGTCCAGCTCGAGCTCTTTTGGCAGATTTGTCAGGTAAAAGCTCCATTAGATGGAAGGGAGAATTGTCTTTCAATTAGTTGATACAGTTCTCCTTTTGTTGAGAGTTATCCAGATGTCTTTGTAACTTGATTGTAGGTCCTGATCAAAGAAATACTGCAAACGCTGTGTTCTGCTCCTGGATGGCTGTTGGAAACATTCTTGGATTTTCTGCTGGAGCCAGTGGAGGTTGGCACAGGTTGGTTTTTTATTGCGTATCTGAAGTGACATGGTGATGTTATATGTGTATATGCTTATATGAAAAGATAGTCCACATCCTGCTTGAACAATAACACTTGTTCAGCATTCTTCTTAAGGGTCAACACTTTGAAATTTGTTACTCTTTTAGTGGCAAAAAATTGTTTTCTCAATTAAGATTTGGTTCACAAAATCATTACATGCTTAAAGTAGCCTTTGACAAAACTTTGTGTCTGGACAGATGGTTTCCCTTTTTGACAAATAGAGCTTGTTGTGAGCCATGTGGAAATCTCAAAGCAGCGTTCTTAGTTGCAGTGGTGAGTTATTTGTCCTCGATAGAGCCCTTGCATAGATATAGTAATTTCTATTTTTGAATCTTGATTTATGGGATCTTCTACTTTAGTTCGACATGTTTTATTCTACATTTTTTATGGATGTACATTGACAAAAAATATTGCTAAAAGAACATAAAAGGGAGTTTTTGGATCTACTCGTCACATCCTGCATCCTTAGTTAATAAAGATATTCCTCAAGCATCTTTTTTAAACAATGTCTTAAAACATTAATCATGTCCTCTTATGCATCTTGTCTCTTGCTAGTTGCTGATATACTATTGTTGAAATTTGGCTTTCCGAAATTGGATAAATTTCAATGACAACATATACTCCCGAATCCCAAGCTAGTTATGGTCGGCTAATGACTACAAGAAACCCCAGAAGATTCATGTAAATTGATGGAAAACCCAACAACCCTAAAGAGAAGATGAATAACATAAACATAAAGGATAGGGAGGAGTTGAACTAATTAACTAGGTTAACACAAAAGCAAGCAATAGATAGCTTGAATCCTTGCTAACACTATCAGTTAGCCCAAACCAAGATAGAATTGGAAGAAATAAAGGATTGGTTCACATAGAAGAAGCAATTAGTCAACACAAGAAAAATATATGTTCAACCAACTAACTAGCAATTCAACTATAAGGGGTTGTTTGGTACGTGGGATAAGGTGGGATAAAGTGTGATATTAAATTTATACTATATTTGGTTGACAGTATACATTTATCCCGGGATTTATTACCGGCAACCAAACATAGTATGAACTTTGTACCAGGATTAGATATCCCATCTTATCCCACCTTAACCCATCAAACTTGATATTATTTTATCGCACCTCCCAAGTGGGATAAAGTAGTCTGCGTACCAACGACCCCTAAGGTTCATCCAAGGAAGAGGAGAATTGAACTCATACAAACACTTACTAAGAAGCAACAAGATGAGGTTCAAGAAGAGGTAAAGGTCAATCCCACAAAAAGGTTCTCTCACAAGAGATTTTGTTGAAGTCAACCTTAAACACTTCCTATTTATACGCTAAGCTAATGGCCTAGGCCCATCAGATTAAGTTTAATTGTCACTTTTGTTTTCCTTTTGGTGTTGGGAGGAGTTTGTTAATGAAGCCGAATCTGTACTTAGCCTCCTAGAATCCTTGTAAGACTGGAAAAGGGTTCCTTATTTGGTTCTGTTCACCTGTATATATTTAGTGCTGCTTATAATGTGGCCTTTCTCCACGAAAGAAAAAAGAAAAAGCTAGGTAGGCCGTGTGGCCCAAGTGGGGTGGACATG